TTGACTATACAACAAGAAGAAAATACTTAAGACAAATATCCTGCGGGAATATTATGAGCATCCTAGAGTAGAACAATGAAAGAAGTTAGGGGAAGGGAGGCAATTCGTCTTTTAAGATAAATAAATATATAATATTGCAGTATTTTCTAACTGTTTGAGGATTAGCATATGGTTCTTTCCCTTGGGAAAAAACATCAGGGATATCTTCTCGTGCCCTTTTGGCCTTGAAGCTCTAACACTGGGATACTTTGAAGTGTCACCAGCTGCTTCCTCACATGCCACCATGCAGTCCCTCCTCCCAAGGAACAAAGAGAGTCTTGGAAAGAGTGGATTTGCATGAGATTTGAGAAGGAAGTGCCCTTCAGAAATAACTTCAGAAAGACATCAAGAAAATGGCAAAAATTACCTAATATATGCTGGGCACACCCTAGTGTTCCACTGTATTGATTTGTTCAAAATTAGTTTTGGTAACTTGTCCTCTGTGATTTGAAAGGCCTACCAATCATGAGCTGTTATTCCTATTAATTAAAGACCTTTTTCAATGATCAGATGTGATTGCAACCTTAGCCTCCACGACAGCCCCATGGAAGGCAGCAGCATTGGGTTTTTAGGGGTTCAGTCTTTCCTCAGAGCACAGTGCTCTCTCCTGAGTCGCATTTTCAGTATGGTCTCAGATACAAGGCTTCTTGGGCACTTGTGTGACTATAACTCTAACTTATTTCAGAGACTGTTAAGATGTTCTTATGAATGCCATAAGATGACCTTCATGTGTGCTAGAGGCTGAGGTGGCCTCTGAGCTCAGGCTTCTTTCTGAGAAACATCTATGTTTTGTTGCTAAGTCAACAAAGCCATTCAAGGCAGATTAGGAGCCACTTTACATGTGGAAAGTATTATTAACAGAAATGATTTGTGAAACTGGGCCAGGAGCATATTTTTTCCTGATTTAACACATGCTATTTTTTTTCCTTTTGTTCTTTGGCCACCTTTTCTGAAAACCCTTTAATGAAGAAAAGCCAATCCTGAAAGCAACAGGAAGCAAGTATAATTCAAGAGAAAGACTATTCATAAATTCATAGACATAGGCAGGCCCCATCTAGAAACTCTCATGGAATTTTTGCAAATGTTACAAAGATTTCTATTTTCAGGTCTTATATGAAATATATTTGAAAATGCACAATTAGCATTACTGTTGTTCTTTTCCCAAGAGATTCCCTTTCTTTTTCCTGCACTTTCAGATGAACATTAAAACCCAGTAGAAATGCACCTTTCAACAAACTGTTGTCCCTAGACAGAGTCTACCAAAAGGGAAAACAGATAGAACTTTCATACTGTCAAAAAGAAATGCATTTATTTCAGACCAAATATTCAGGAAATTCAGCAATTTTTTTCTAAAGCAATATAATATAGTAGCTAAGAGCAGACGTCTGGGTTTTGGTAGTCTTACAGACTTATCTTAGTAGACTAATCTGTACAAAGGAAATAAGAATAGATCATGTCTCAAAAGTGGTGCTAGTATTGAGTATTTAAAACTGTACCTATACATAATAAATGTAAGAATCCACTCAGGGTGATGGCAAAAATATTAAGGGGAAAATATTAGAGAAAGTTTTAGAATACAGTCTCAAATCCTTTTGGAAGGCCTAAGAGTTTTTTTCTATAGTTCTTTGCTGAAGGCAGCCAGAGTCTCTTTCCAGGAGCCAGAGAGATTAGGGCACAAAGACAAAGGAATGGGAGTAATTTACCTAGCTAACTTGTTTATTCATGTGGTCTTAAAACCAATGTTTAAGCTGGATGTCCCTCTTGGGGGGCTGTGGGGAGGTTGATCAGGGAGATTACCCTCTAAAGGTGTTTGCTTTGGGCATTGGAACCTGTCCTTTAATCTCTTCACTCTAGTGGTGTTGACTCAAGCCTTTGTCAATTAAACTTTACTAAACAAATGCAAGTCTCACTGGCTGGTGGGGGCCAGCAGCTGCTATCTCTTCACAGCACTCTCAAGGGAGTCTGTAAGTGGTACAGACACTCAGCCGAAGTAGCAAAGCATAGAATCTGTGTGTCAGTGTACTTTATTCATCCACAGCTGAGTCAAGGTCTGCAGGACAGACCCCTGCAGGTGGTGACCCTGACAGTGGTGCCCAGTGTGGGGTGACCCCAACAAATAAATACACAATAAATAAATGTTAGCTATTATAGAAGTTTTAAAATAAGTAATCTTCCTTGGACCCATGAAAGAATACAAAATTACTGAATTTTAGACAGTTTCTTTGCACAAATTGCAATAGCAGTTTCTTTTAAAACTGTCTAATAAAATGTATAAAAAGAAATGTCACTATAAAATATTATTTCCAGATTGAGGAACAAAATAGATTATTATGTCTTCAAAGTATAATACATTCTAGGAGGCAAGATGAAATCACTCCCTGAAAACTGACTTTTATGACAGTACACTAATAAATGTATAAAATGAAAACAAAGCTAATGATCAATGTGACATGAATCTCCAGGTAACAGATCCAAAGAGTAGTAAAAATTATATAGAAATTAGTAATAGTGTCAAAGTAAGAGTCAAGACCTTAAACCAGAACCACAACTAGAGGGAAAAGGGGAACTCACACCCACTTCATAGCCTCACAGCAATCCCCAACATTCTCTAGAAATTGACAACTTTTCAATTGGCAATGAACTTTGTTCACCTGGCAGTGAACTTTGTGATTAAAATGTAAGTGGCAGTTTTATGTCATGTATATTTTACAAAAGAGAGGCCCTTGAGAAATTGATGAAGTGCTCAAATGCTTTTGGAAAAATGACTCCTTTTATAATTGTGCTGTAAAAGTCAACCACGAAGTGCTATTATGTCAGAAAAATTATAACCAAACCCCCCTCAAAAAACACATTTGGTGCATTATTAAAAATTAATACATTGTTGAAATTAAAAGCTAAATTTTATTAAAATAATTTATAGTCCTAAGTGATAAGACTATTAGACATAAAGAATTGGGCTAGGTATGGTGGCTCGCCCCTGTAATCTCTACATTTTGGGAGGTGCTGAAGGGCAGAAGGATCCCTTGAGACCAGGTGTTCCAGACCATACTAGACTGGACAATAATGTGAGAGCCCATCTCTACAAAATAATTTATAACTTAGCCAGGCACTGTGGTGTGTGCCTGTAGTTCCAGCTATTTCGGAGGCTGAGGCAGGAGAATCACTTGAGCCCAGGAGTTCAAGTTACAGTTGGTTATGATCATGCCCCTGTACTCCAGCTGAGGCAACAAAGTGACACCCTATCTCTAAAAAGAAAAAGAGAGAGAGAGAAGGAGCATTTTTTTTTGGAGACAGACTCTTGCTCTATCACCCAGGCTGGAGTGCAGTGGCATAATCTCAGCTCACTGCAACCTCCACCTCCCAGGTTCAAGCAATTCTCCTGTCTCAGCCTCTCAAGTAGCTGGGACTACAGGTGCATGCTGCCATACCCAGCCAATTTTTTTTTATTTTAGTAGAGATGAGGTTTCACCGTGTTACCCAGGCTGGTCTTGCCCAGGAGGAGCACCTTTTTTTGGATCTCTTCCCTACCATACCATCATTACTGCCACAGCCTGCATCATCCAAAGCTTCAGGCACTATTTCCAGGCCACGACCACCCCAGTGCCCTCCACAGATGATGGGACCTGGCTGGGACTCAGCCTCAGGCAAGCCATTTGATCTCCAGGCTTCATTTCTCATTTCCAAAATGAAAATGTTAAGCCAGTATGATGTTTAACATCCCTAGTGGCTCAAACATTCTATGATTCTATCACTTCTGCAAACCCTAGTTCTGATCCCTGATTTTAAATCTTTTTTTCACAAATGTGAAAATCATCTTAGGTAACTAAAGAATTCTAAAAATTGTGTTGACTGTCAAAATATATATTTTTTTGCTTTAGGATTGTACCTGTAGCCAACACAATTTTATGAAAACTACTGCTCATCAGTATTCAACAAGGCCATTTCTTTCCCCAGAGAGAATTAATCATAGGCAAGATGTGAAAAAGATGTTTTCCCAAATGAAGCCTAAGCACATGCCTGCTGAGAAGCCCATTCTATTTTAATTTGCCAATTAAAAGTGGCCTGGTAAATCACGCACTGTCACTGTCTCATTAAAAATACTATACTTGTCACTCTCTTTGCTCTCTCTCAAGTAGCCCAATTGCTCCCTACAACTTCAATTTAATATCACCCTTAAAAAGCTGGCTTTCTTTAGGGTCAGTTGAGGACAGCATCTTCTGCTGTTATTACTGCCACAAATTCCATACCACTCAAATCACTAAGTTGACACTGTTTACTGGATATTTACTGTATCTGTGAAATTTACTAAACATTTAGAAGAGTTAAAAATGAACTAAAAAGCTTGTTTTAGCAAATTAATGGCCACTATCATTGGAAAAGACAGCCTTATAACCAGGCCTTTTAAATATCCCTCCTATCAGCGTCTTTTTTTCTATATGGCTTATATTCAACCCCTCCCTATCTGTCTTGGCTGGTTTTCTGTGGAATCATATTACAAGCATGGTGCTGATGGCTGAGATTTCCCTGTAATTTAAAAAAGCTCGATTTCTGTTTATATAGCAATTGTAAATTTCCTTCCCCTATAAACTGTATATTGAGGTGACATTACATTTGGGAAATAGAGTGAGTGGTTTGAATTGTGTTGCTAGTTATTGCTTTTCTGTTTCTAATAAGCCATAAAATAAATAAAGGTCAGGATTAAGAAGGAAATGTGGCAAAGATTCTAGATAATGGCTTACTGCTAATAATGCCCTCGTTTGAGTAACATAATAATAAATGATAAAGGTATGCTGCTGACTTCCTGAATGCACTTGGGCTTGATTCTCTGTACACATCTGCAGGTTATTATGCATTTCCAAAGGTACTTCCTCAAAAAAATCCATTGACTTTTACCTAATAAAACATGTACTACCATGGTGCACTAGGGGAAAGGCCTGTCTTTAGCCAAAGGGTAAGATTACCTTATTGCCTTGAAACCCTTTTGGGCCTGGATCTCCTGGAGGTCCACTAATTCCCTGGTCCAAGATGAAAACCAAGAATTAGTTCTGAGTACAAAAGGCCAAGCAGGAATGAATCATTCTTTAGGGTCCCTTGTAGATCCTGGCATTAGAAGTTAGACTGTGTAACTCTGAGCTAAATTGGCAGAGAGTGTAAACGGGCAAGGGGATGGTCTAAAATCTCCCCAGGTGATTCTAATCAAGAAATGGCATAAGATAAATTTGTGTCAAATAAGTAGCTTCTAAAATAGCACTTATGCTAACAGCAAACAATTAATTAACTAGATGTTTATTTACTAAACCTGTATTTCCAACGTTATTCCAACGTTCTTGACTCTTTCTAAAAAAGATTTTACCTATTAAACCTCTTCTTTTTAAAAAATATCTAAGGCATATGTAACTGAAGTTAGAGCTTCCAAAGAACCTGTGATAACCAGAATTACTTCGTGGCTCTGACATTTCCAGAGTAAAGCAAAAAGTTAGTGGTTAACTAGATGGTTAGGAAATTCTGGGTAAAATTGTAATTTTCTGTAGGCTTCCTGAAATACTGAAATTAACTCCTAACACAGACCACCGTTATAACTCTAGACAAGTTCCTAGGCTAGAAAAAGATTCAAATTATTTTCTGAAACCTATGAATGTCTAACTTAAATGCCTTAGAGAATCAGTCCCTATTATAGAACATCACCTGTAGTTACAAAACAATATAAATACTGTGATTTAGATTAAACTGTATAACTTTTCGAACTACACTATAGTAGCAGGCAAAAATAGTTACATCCTGCTTTTAACCACTTTGACTTTCTCTGTCTTTCCAGATTCTTAATTTTTTAACTTCACCCCATTAGCTACTTACTAATATTTGCCTGTTGGTACCTATCTCTGGGAGTCTTAGTTAACTTATTAAAAACTTTAGGGAAGGCATTTCCAAAATTTGTTGCACACTGGAGTCATCTGGGGATCTTTAAAAAATTAACACCTGGCTTTAATTTCCAGACACTTTGATTTAATTGGCAGAGGGTGTAAGTGGGCAAGGGGATGGTTTAAAATCTCCCCAGGTGATTCTAATCCAGACTTAGGTTTTTACCCCCTTACCTGAATTCCTCTAGGTCCCTTTGCTCCATATGGCCCTGGGGATCCCTGTGAAATAAAATTGAAAATAAGTCTCTCTAAATACACATCTTCAACATACAGGAGGGAAGGAAATGTGTTCTCTGTAATTGTTGTCTTAACATCAAAGACAATAAATTAAAATAATCCTAATTAACAAGCCAAGGGGTAGGAGTGTCAAACTTTCCTTAACTAAATAAACTCCACGAAAATACAATTTTAGATGTAACTCCTTTACTTATGTATTGACAGTTTGGTCATTTAGATTAGAGTAAATAAATTACTTTTTAAGATTCCTTGGAGGGCTAAACTTATTGGAATAATATCTCCTTCAAACAGGGCAATGTCAGTTAAATTAACAATGTAGTACATTTCCATGATACCTAGATCACTCTTTGGCTCATCTTCAAGACATTGAACTTGGAAAACACTGTTTATATTCAATTCTCTTCTAATAGAAAATATTTCATTCTGTCCCATAATCAGGAAACCCTTTAAAATTTATTTTGTGAGGGAGAACATAGTCTAGTTTTTATTTCCCCAGATTTCCACTTTTTTTTTTTTTTGCTTATCAAAGTATAACTGTTAACAATTGAGACACTTTGAAAATTATAGAAAAACATTTAAGAAACAATTTGAAAAATCACACAGAGGCAAATACCGTTAACATTTTTGGCATATTTCCTCCAGTTTTATTCCCAATAGATTTCTCGTCAAATAATGTGATCAAAGTGTATGTCTGATTTTGTGTCCTATTTGGCCTTACATTGTATCAAAAATATTTTTCCATGTCATTAAAAACTCAGAGTAAACAGAAAATATTCAAGAACAGGAAACTACCATAATTTATTTACTCATTTCCCTAGTTTTGACCCAACATATAAGTAATATTATAATGAACATCTTTATGTATAAATCTCTGTCCAATTTCTGATTCACTCCTAAAAATAGTCTCCTAGAAGGGGATGACAGAAGCAGAGACTATAAGCACATTTAAGGTTTGCTGGCTCTGTCTCCCAGGCCATATGTAGAAATAAAGGGAGGGACACTTACTCCATGAAGTTTGTTTGTTGATCATTCCCACTCCCTGAGTATGAGAGAGTGTATCTTCATCTTACAGGCTCCCCATTAACAATTAGCATTATAAATTACTTCCTGTTTGCTAATTTTATAGGTGGCATAATACTTTTGTGCATTTGGTTTTGGTGGTTGTTTTTTGTTTTTTGGGGTTTTTTGGAGACAGGGTCTTGCTCTGTTGCCCAGGATGGAGTAGCTCACTGCAGCCTCTACCTCCCAAGCTCAAGGAATCCTCTCACCTTAGCCTCCCAAGTTGCCCATGCTGATGAGATAATATTTTGCTGTTTGTTGTTTTTGTTTTGTTTTTGATATGGAGTCTTACTCTGTCACCCAGGCTGGAGTGCAATGGCACAATCGGCTCACTGCAACCTCTGCCTCCTGGGTTCAAGCAATTCTCTTGCCCCAGCCTCCTGAGTAGCTGGGATTATAGGTGCACACCACCATGCCCAGCTAATTTCTGTATTTTTAGTAGAGACAGGTTTCACCATGTTGATCAGGCTAGTCTCAAACACCTGACCTCAGGTGATCCACCTGCCTCAGCCTCCCAAAGTTCTGGGATTACAGGCGTGAGCCACTGTGCCTGGCCTTTCACGTTTTTATATCTCTGACATTGAGGTATATTTTATAATCAATTGCACCTTACATTTATAATTGGCAGTGGGGTTTTCTTCTTTCTTTATTTTTGACATGGAAAATAATGGGACATTTAACAATCCCTGACATCTTAGTCAATGAAATATGATATCCTTTGTCAACCATTTTTATTTAATCTAGTTTTCCCAGGTATTGTTTGACTTTCATTTCTGTTCTATTCTATGTGTGTCCCTTTTCCTGTATTTCCAGTATCCAAGTACATCTTACATGTTCAATTACATCCCAGCAAAAAATCTATTTATTTTCACATTTCCCATTTTGACCAGAGATAATTACCAAGCCTACATTTTGCAGATTCATCTGACCTTTAGCTCTACAGTAGTTTAAAAGCATTCAGAAAGTCTCAATCTATTTAAAGTGTTTAGTTCCATGAACCAATGTCATTTTCTCCCCCTCTTCTCCTAACCTTCTGCCTCATTTTCTCTCCTTGACACCATTCCAGAATTATAACATAGAAACTGAAAAAGTTTGGTATCTTGGTGGCATGATGTTGATAGTTCTTAACTATAATGAAAACTATTTATTTTTGGCTGTATTTTTTGGACCCTTTATGTTTCAGATATATTTGGCCTTTTGAGAAACTCTTTAACATACTTAATACTATTTCCAAATTTAAGTGCTGTGTGTGTGTGTGTGTGTGTGTGTGTGTGTGTGTGTGATGGAGTCTCACTCTGTCACCCACACTGGAGTGCACTGGCACAATCTCGGCTCACTGCAACCTCTGCCTCCTGGGTTCAAGCAATTCTGCTGTCTCAACTATAGGAACATGCCACCATGCCCAGCTAATTTTTGTATTTTTAGTAGAGACGGGGTTTCATCACGTTGGTCAGGCTGGTCTCGAACTCCTGATTTCAGGTGATCCACCCATCTCAGCCTCCTAAAGTGCCCGGCCTATATTTATTTTTTAAATAAAGGTGAATATCTATCCAATTGTCTGTGTCTACATTTTCAAAATTATAAATCTCTATGTCTAGTTGCCCCACACTCTTTATAACTATTTCACTGACTTTTTCAGAGTTCTTCACACTCTTTTGGAAAGTGCCTGTTCTCAGTGTTCACATCTGGAAAGCAATTCTACTCTGACTGAACTGCAGCTTGAATTAACTTTGCTGGTTAAATAATTCTCTTCATCATAACATTCAGTAGGTATGGCCTCCAAGGTTAGGGTGTCACAAAGTCTTAATGGTCCATAAGAAAGGCATTTGGGGCTCCATTTTTGAGTTAGGCATCACTTTGTTTTCTACCACGTTTTACAGATGTGAAAAATTGAGCCATTGATTCCAACTTAGTAGTGAGATCACCATAATTCAGCACAGGAATTTCCCCTTAAGGAAACAACCCAAATGGGATCACAGCTGTAAGCATTTTAAAAACATGTTCCTTACTTTGTCACCTTTTATTCCTGGTTTACCACATTCCCCACGTTCACCCTAAAAAATAAATAAGTGAAATAAATAAGAGAACACTTGTAGTCATTCACTATTAAAAATGTTTGGGTTTTTTTTTTTTTAATTCCCAGCAGATTCTTGTAACATAAGCACTCTGTTGGTTTCTACACAATTTTAGCTTCAATACTGTGGGTTGCATGTGCATTGAAGTCTGATTATTTTTACCCATGAGCCATCCTTAACTTGACAGGAACACATCAGCAACAATGTAATAATGGTTGAAATTTTTAAGAAATGGATAAAACTAGAAAAAAAGGAACCTAGCGTCTAACCACATATTAGATGCTCTTTGCATACATTTTTTAATTGAATCCACATAATAGCCCGAGGAGATCAGCTTTATCATTCTTATTTTATACTTGAGAACATTTAAACTCAACAACATAACTTCCTTCTATAAAGTAGCTAGTAAGTAAAAAGTCAGGGTCTGAACCCAGATATTCTAACTCAGAATTTCTATTTTTTAAAAACACCATGCTTCAGCCTGAGTACCAATCTTGATCACCTAGCAGGGTTCACCTGGAGAACTGTGAGAGACAGGATCTGAGATGAGATTGCATTGTGAGTTGGTAGGAACAGGTGCCATAATGAGGTAGCAAGGTCTGCTATGGGAGAGCCAGGCTTGGAAGCCAGCATGCTACAGATTTTTCATTATGCTCTACTGCCCTGTCTGCCCTAGAATATTGCAAAAAAAAAAAATTTGAGTTGTCCTTTCAAGTTTATTAGTGATAGTTTATCATAAATATTGCATCTCAGTTAATCTGACATTAACTGTCTGAGATGTTAATCTAATTTTATAGACTAAAAATTTGTAATTAAGAAGGTTAAGTAAAGAGAATGTGGTATACAATGGAATATTATTCAGTCTTTACAAAGGAAATCCTGTCATTTGTAACAATATAGATGAACCTGAACCTGGAAGACATCATGTTAAGTGAAATAAGCCAGAAACAGAAAGACAAATATGGCATGATCTCACTTATATGTGAGATCTAAAACCGTTGAACTCACAGAAGCACAGAGTTGAAGGGTGGTTACCGGGGTAATGGGTGGAAACTTGAAAAATGTTGGTCAAAAGATACAAAACTTAGATAGGAGCAGTAAGTTCAAGAGATCTGTTGTACAACATGATGACTATTGTTAATAACATGTCTTGTATTGAAAATCACTAAAAGGGTAGACTTTAAGCATTCTCACCACAAAAATTGATCATTATGTGAGGTGATACATATGTCAATTAGCTCGAGTTACCCTTTTTACAACATATACACTTATCAAATCATATTTTATACAATACAATAAATATGAACTTTTTAGATATGTCAATTAAAATTTTTAAATAAAAATAAATATTTTTAAAAGGTTAGTTTGCTCAAATAGAATGAGAATTGGGACCTCTGAATATCAATCCCTATGTCAGACTTTTGAGACATCTAATAATTAGAAGTAAAAGGTGACAGTCAGAAAAATGACTAAAGTTTTATAATCATAATTATCTCTTGCTATAAAACACTTTAGCGTTTTCAAAATGCTTTTATATATATATATATATATATATATATATATATATATATATATATCTTTATTTTGAGCCTCAATTCAATTCTCATTTTCAAGATAAGGAAACACAATTGGAAATGTTAAATGCTTTATTTAAATGCACAGGCTACCCAATGACTCCTAGTCCAGTGCTCTCACCCAGTGCTGCTGCTGCTGCTGCTGCTGTTGCTGCTTTATTCTGCTTCTACTGCTCTAGGGCATGCTACTGGAAGTGCCACGACACAATGACATAAGGAAATTGCATTCAAATATAAATCAAGGCACTACTTCCTTCATCCAGGAAGTCTTGCTATGAAAAATAAATATCAGCTGAACTTTTAACAACATACATAGTAATATAGTGGATTTATATGCTGGGGGAAGCTTTATCTTGTTGCAGAATAGTAACAAACTATTCCTAAGACTGGCAGCCAGCTTTCAGACTACAGTTTGAATAGCAGTGCTCTAAGAAGGGAAATCACAATTGTAACTTCCATTTATCAATGCAAAGTATGCATCATAACTACATGATTGCTAATCCCCATAGCAGCCTTTCAAGGTATATCTCCACTCACAGATAAGCAAAATGAGGCTCAGAGAGATTATGACCACAGGCTTGAGTCTGTTAGGCTCTCAAGTCCATGTTCTTATCAGTCACCTGTAGCTGAAAAAGGCACACTGTCATAGGCTGCAAGTAACTTTCCATTAACCTGACATTTCTGCCTGGGGTACTGCCTGGGCTCTTGCAGGCATCAGGAGCAGGCAAGAGGGAGGTGTGACTCTTAGAGGCAGCTATGTCTCTGATCAAAAGCAATCTGTTCTCTCTCACAACCTTTTGTGAGTCAAACTGACCCAGGAAAAACTGAGCTTTCACTTAGAACAAGTTGAACATTATTTCTGAATGCAAATGGAAAATCACTTTTGAAGAATCAATTAGACAGCAATTAATTTAATAATGTTGGATGGGAATAAAATGAGTCAACCAACAAAATATAAAACAGAAAAGTACCATAAATACACTCAAAATGCTTTTGGCTAGAATTCACATTCCATTTGTCCAGACAGATTTGTTAGCTATAGAGGCCTGAGGAACTGCATTTGTTTTTGGTGGGGAGGGGAGCAGATTTCCATCAATGAAAATATTGTATTCATGTTATTTGCCTCTACAAAGGCGTTTTCCTTTTTGGTGGGCTCATTAATCCCTGTGGAATGGCCACAATTACACAGTTTGAGAGAGTGAGTATTTCAGAGAGCCAGGAACAGATCAGCTCTGTTCTCAGCCTCTATTTTCTGATGCTGCTGCTCCTAGTGAAATTCTGGTTTGAATGTCGATGGTTCAGGGTCACTTTGCTCTGACAGCTTGTATTTTCCAAGTGAGAACTCTTCCAGTGAATCAATAACTCTCTAGACAGTGAAATGAATCTTTTCAAAATATATATGTATAAAGCTTCCTTGTGTTGATAACTACCTCACTATATAAATCAAAATGGAGGAGGGGGGCCACCCATAATTTTCCTCAACTATATACAGGATAATTTTACAACCATGAAAATTTTTTAGCTTTCTCATACTAATATATGTTCCTTTCCTCTTCATAATGGCACTTACATTTGCAGAAAAGCCAACATTTTGGAATACATTGTCACACCCATTATTTGATTCTCCATCCACTCTGTAAATTAGGCAGGCCTGTACAAAATTTTATTCCATCCAGTCAAAGAAACAGATACTCCAATATATTGAGTTACCTAAGTTCTTAAGACTGCAAAGTGTGGAATCATGGGGTTTCTCATACTCTTCCCCTTGGAGCTCTGACACTGCCAGTGATTAGGGTATATTTATTGGCTCACATGCAGGCTCACCCATAATATTTGCAGGGCAAGAGTGTAAGTGTAAGTGGAGGGCTGAGGATCCGAGATGGCTGAATAGGAAGAACTCCAGAGTGCAGTTCCCAGTAAGAACAACGCAGAGTGTGAGTACCCATCACATTTCCAAACAAATGTTTACTGCCCACAGACCAGGAGATTCCCAGCCGAAAACTGCCTTTTTTAGCATAGCGGTTTCAGCCAGTAACGGCTGGGTACACAGAAACTCACACAAATCTGGGTGGCCGTTTCAACTGGTGCCTAGAATGCCTGGGAGACAGAGCCACGCATTTAACTGAAAGGGAGTCCTGAGACAGGGAGCCAGGCGATCTGGCTTGGCGGGTACCACCCCGACAAAACAAGCAATCTGAAACGCTCTGGATTGAGAGTTTCCCAGCAAGCACAGCCGGAACCAGGACGGCCCAGCTCAGCTGGGGGAAGGGTAACCACCACTACTGAGGCAGTCCACACACCAGCTGGGCAGAGCCTACGGCAGCTCAGCAACACCTCTGCTGGCAGACTGTGACTAGACTATTCTGTGTGGGGCAGGGCATTTTTGAAAAAAGGCAGCAGCATGACAGGAACTTATAAATAAAGCTGACCTTCCTAGGACACGGCACCTGTAAAAAGAGGCAGTTATGAGTTCCACTGCAGCAGACTTAAAGGTACCTGCCCAGCAGCTCTGCATGGAACAGCGGAGCTCCCAGGACAGAACTTGAGCTCCTATAAGGGACACACTGTCTCCTCAAGCAGCTCCCCAACCCCAGTATACCCAAAGAGACACCTCATAAAGGACAGCTCAGGCTGACATCTGGCAGGTACCCTTCTGAGATGAAGATAACAGAACAAGAAATTGGCAGCAACCCTTACTGTTCTGCAGCCCCCAAAGGTGATCCCCAGGCAAGGAGGGTACTGAATGGACCTCCAGAAGTCCTGCAGCAGAGGAGCCCGACTGATAGAAGGAAAACTAAGAAACAGAAAGCAATCACTTCATCATCAACAAAAAGGACATCAACTCAGAGACCCCATCTGAAAGTCACCAACTACAAAAACCTCAGGTAGATAAAGCAAGTAAGATGGGAAGAAACCAGTGCAAAAAGGATGAAAACTCCAAAAACCAGAACGCCTCTCCTCCTCCTAAGAATCACAACTCCTCTCTAGCTAGGGATGAAAGAAGCAAGGAGAATGAATCTGATGAATTGACAGAAACAGGCTTCAGAACATGGGTAATAACAAACTTCTCAGAGCTAAAAGAACATGTGCTAACCCAATGCAAAGAAACTAAGAACCTAGAAAAAAGGCTACATGAGATGCTAACTAGAATAAACAGCTTACAGAAGTATATAAATGATTTAACAGAGCTGAAAAACACAGCACAAGAACTTTGTGAAGCATACCCAAATTTGAATACCTGAATCTACCAAGCAGAAGAAATAATATCAGAGACTGAAGTTCAACTCAATGAAATAAAATGAGAAGGAAAGAATAGAGAAAAAAAGAATGAAAAAAAATGAGCAAAGCCTCCGATAAATATGGGATTATGTGAAAAGACCTAATCTACGCTTGATAGGTGTACCT